AATACAATTTCATTGTAACAGAATTTTAAGAGGAAGTGGGTCTCCTTTGGCCTCTGGTTTGGATAGAAATCGGGTCACTGGACCACCAAACAGGACAACGAGGTAGAGAAAACTATTTAAGTGTTTTTACATTCTTAACTCTCCTCCCCCTCCTACACTGCAGTTTAGAAATGAGATTGAAGAATTCGAGAGGAGTTTTTGGAGTTTATTCAAAGGTATTTGGAGACCACTGCTGGTGTGTTGTGAATCCTACTTACCCCTAAATTGCGAGGTGCTTCCAGTTTAGCTAAGGCAGGGGAGGGCTGGAGAAAGGCACTCGGAGCTGGTGGGTAGTCTCTGCGTGTGGGAACACAGCAGGCTGTGGGTCTAACCCATTGCACAGCTGTCTCCTGGGGGCAGGGGTCGGCCTGCTTCTCTGTTTCGGAGAGGAGACCTGCTTTCTGTGCCTCACCGCACTTTTAGGGTTTGCTGGGTCGGAGAGTGTGTGACTGTTTGCAGGGCACTAGAGTTTGGCCACATGTTGGAATCTGGGGTTATCTTTTCTCTTCTCCAAGAGAGTTACTTAGAATTTAAAAAGCTCTGCAGAGGGAGGCTGAGCTCAGCACAGTAGCCAGCCAGGTGAGAGGTTCCCCAAGCATGGATTTGAGGTGTCTCTGATGATCCTGCCAAGGGCCCCATGAGCTTCACATACCTGCTAGGTCCAGAGAGCCTAATGCCAGTATCAGTCAAGTTCAGAACTTTCCTGCCCTCTCCCCTGTGCTCTTATCCCTCTCTTCTGCTGCCGCTCTGAGTCAGGAGTTACAGTTAGCGAATTGGCGCAGAAAACTACGCTTCTGAAAGCACAAAGGAGGCAAACGGAAAAGAAATCACACTCCACCTTGACATCACTGGGAAAGGGAAATAAATAGCTGTGACTTTGAATGAAGTTGCTTTTATTACCCTGATCTAGACCCACTTATTTAGTGGAGATTCTTTTATCATCTGCAAGTTACTTTAAAAGTCGTGAGACATGCCCTGAGTTCTATCTGGCAGAAAGGGAAGAGCCAGAGCCCAGAGTAAAATTAGATAGACAATCTGTGTTGCTTTAGGATTCTTTCTCATAAAATCTCGCTTGTTGAACGCACTGATTCGTACCTTATTTAATGATTCCCTTGCTTTTATATGTACTTATAGGTTTGATATTTTGAGGTACTATAAATAATGTCAGACCAGACAGGCTTATATGCATTTCTGTCATTATATTCTGGATCATTAGAGATTTGTTTACAGAAGGAGAATATTCTTCTGTATAAATATTGACAAATTGCTCTTCAGAAGGATTCTCATGCTTTCTACTACCACCGTCTTCGCATGAATGCTTCAGGTTCAAAGACGTTTCAAAAAAATACTGATTTAAGAAGACTATTTGATTTGATAACATCGATGGGAATGTTGGTTGCAAAAGGAAAAAATCCCCACCTTCCACGGTACTGATCAGATGTAAAAAAATTATTCTGAGGGTATCGGTTTTATAGACTGTAAACTGTAGAATTTGGCCTGTGAATTATAAAATACCACATTATGTGGCAGAAGGCTGCACAAAACTGTTTAAATCCCAAGCACATTAAATTTGGAGATAAAAACATCTAGAACGATTTGACTTTTATTAAGTATTAAAAAACAAATAGCACTTTCCAGCCGGCGCCACGTCATGGATTGCCATGATCTCACCAGGCATGGGCTCCTGCGAATAGACTTTCAATACACTAAGCTGCGCAGACAGGGTCAAGGAGCGGCACCCACGCGGGCCCAGTGGGAGCAGCCAACTCAAATGGAAAGAGAAGAGCGAGAAGCCGGCTCCCACAGCTCCCTAATCGCCGGCAATTTTCTCTTCTTTCTGCTCTTTACTGTTTTATGCTAAATGCTCACATCTCTAAGGATTATAACGTATTTTGCATGTTTTAAACTTCATACAATTGGTATCACGCTGTGTATATCTTATACGATTTGCTTTATTTTGCTCCACCAAATGTTTCTGACTTTTATTCATTGCTCTAGTGGTTCCAAGTTATTCATTTTGGGGCCACGGTTTTATACTCACTACATAAATATACCAGAATTTGTTAATTCTCCTTCTGATGAAGTTTGCTGTTCTTTATCAGCTTATTGTGATTGAGACAGGCTTTGGTAAATGCCAGATACAGTAGCGTCAGGGCCAGGGCAGCTAGGGAGGGGGTCAGAGTGACATGGGACACGCCCTTCCTTTCCCCAGGGTGGCCTGAAGGGAGCAAGGCTGGGGGGCGGGACTTGTACCTGACCACCTCCTTTCTGCTCGTAGCTCCTGCTCCCAGGAGAGGGCCTGGGACCTCATGCGACATTGAACAAGGCAGAGGAGGGAGTCTTCAGATGTCACTGAACTGCAGATGTGGATTGGGTCTCCCAGGCAGAGGGCAGAATCCGCACACCAGACTGCAGTACTGGCCTTAGTCCTGGAAGGCTCAGACATGCCCAGGCCCTTCCCACACGCCACTCAAGGGTGGATTTCCTCCTCTCGCTTTATTGTTAGACCCAGTGTATAAACAGAAAACAGCAGGGATCGTCTTGGGCTTCAAGAAACAGCCAGGAAGGAAGGGGCTCCAGAAATGTTTGAAAAGTACAAGACATATGAGTGCCCGGACCAAGGGTGTGGCTGGCAGACCACAGCCAGCAGGGGTGGATGAAAGGTTCCTTTCCTCTCCCCAGAGCTGGGCCAACCCCAGGGACCCTCCACCGGCAGCCAGTCCACACAGGCAGAACGCTGACCAAGGGAAAACTCCATGCCGAGGAGCCACCGAGCCCCACCCCCCATACCTGGAGAGAAAGGCCACACGTGCTGTGTCGATTGCTGTCTGCTCAGGGCATGTACGAGATTCTGTGGGGACACGGATGACAGAGCACTTGGCTTGCTGGACAGGAAAGGGTTTGATGGGCCACACCAGTTTGGTGTCCCAGGTAGACTGAGGGACCAGATAGAAGGGTTGGGCAGTCTGGGGACTGGAGGATCCGAAATCAGTGTGGTGCAGCATGAGGGCTAGGAAAGGCCTCAGCCAGGGCGGTGGTAGGAGCAGAGTATGTGGATCCTGCGGAGACTCAGAGGGTGGGGTGAGGCAGACCGAGTTCTGGCCCTCTGAGCCTTGGTCCCTTCATCTGTAACACAGGGCATTCTCTACCTCGTGGTGAGAGAACACAGGAGTCTGAGGTACCATTAAAGAACCAAATATAAGACGTGGACTCAGAAGTTCTGCTGACTCCACTGTTGGGCAGAAAGGGCACTGGCTGTAAGGTCTTCGAAGCTTCCAGATCCCTAACTTTCCCCTTGTCTATAAAGGGTGGCCAATACCCACCTCACAGAAATGAAAAGAGTCAATAGAAGAACGCCCCTCGCCGGGCCTGCAATACCATGTAAGTCCCTAACTGGTCTCCTGTTGGAATTCTCAGCTCCCAGTGACCCATTCTCCCCAACCAGCCCCAGGAATCCTTCTAACTTACTCCCTGCGGGGGCCCTTTAATCACATCCCTTTGCACAACCAATACCCTCTGATGCCCGCTGGGGCCTGTTGGGCGCTGCCCAGCCAGCTCCTCTCTGCGGGTCTAGTGGGAATGTAATTTAGCAGAACGGTTCGGAGGCTAAGAATCCAGCTCGTGAAGCCGCACTGCAGGGTGGGGCCCAGCTGCGTGACTGCAGAGCTTCAGTGGGTCGTTCAGTCTCTGTGCTGCCTGGGAAATGGGGATAATACTGGTATAGAACTGTTGTCATATTGAATAATATGAATAATATGCGTACTGCAGTAAGTGCAATGTCTCACAATTAGTCAGTGCTAGTATTTAAGCACATAAGGACAAAGATTTTTGTTATATATAATACTGTATCCACAATGTCTGGAATAGATAGAAAGCATACAATCTGCTTTTGAATGAGTGAAAAAAAACCTAATAATACATTAGTATTTCCTTTGCCCTTGACTTAACTGAAACTTTGGAATGTCTACCATGAAATGATACTTTCTGAAATCTTAGAAAAGTCTAACTAAACACTTCTCATTAGGATGAAGAATCAGAAACCACACTGAGCATTATGTTATCTCTAACAAAGCATGCCATAACTTATAAGATTAGTTGAAAACTAAATGAAGTTCATTTTACAACAATCTGACAAAGGACCATGTAACAAAGGGGCACTGTTGCCTGTTTTATTGTTATCCACATATGACATTGATATAACAACACACAGATTTAGTTAAGTTGAAAAATCATGTGGGTGAAGGACCATTGAATCCCTGAGAATTACAATACTTTGTCTTACTGTAAAAAGAGTAACATTATTTCTTCAAATAAGATCATTTATATGGCTAATACTAGCTTTTTAATGTAGCAAAATCTCTCTAAAGGAGGTTATCATAAAGACAATTATATACAGATAATTCTTAACAACCAACATCTATGAATAGATAATTTAGAATCCCCCCCCCCAAATGATAAACATGAAGAAAAATTACTATATTATCCTAAACTATTGAGTAGGTATTATGAGAAATAACTGGAATAGCTCGGCTACCACATGGTCACATCTAGAACTCCCCCTGCATCTGCAATGATCTCTCTGGGAACTAAGGTTATGGCCTGGATAGTTTGTTCTCTGCTGCTTCTTGAAACACTGGCTTGGTTCTACTTCACTGACAGCTTTGGGTGGCAAATCTCAGCTGCCTTTTCATATACTGATACTGCCTTTAAAAACTGCGATCATCGCCGTGACTGTGGACACTGATTCTGCTTTCAAATGACAAGTAAATGTTGAGTTGATAACCAAAGTATAGAAAGACCATCACTTGCAACTTCCTCACTGGAAAGGGACATCCATCAAAAGAGTTATATGACTGACTGACCCCATTTTGCATATTAGGACCACTAACATTTCCACCGTGATTTCAGTGTCTCAGCACTGAATTCCGTGGGGCTCGGCAGATGGCATAAGAAGTTCCTACCTGGACCAAGCTATATCCTGTGCGCTGGACCAGTGCGCGGAGGGCTGCTTCCTTCTGGGTGCCGCTCAATCCATCCCCGGATTTGTGATTTGATTCCATTGAGAGTGATTATCAGCAAAAAATCAGGTTAATTAGGGTTGCTCACTGAAACCAAATTTAAGATAAATTAAGTAAATTGCGGTTGCCAAAGTCCAAACTTGTCCTTTTCTGGAGGACATGTCTAGGAAACGTTCTCTGCAAATGAGACATCAAGGTTAGAGCCACTAACAGCCACACACAAACAAGGCCAGGTCAATATCCTTTTTAAGGAAGAGTTTTAAAAAATGTTCAGTTGAAATTCAGAAGTCAAAAATGAGTAATATCCTTTTCCCAATTAGAATGCAGATCAGGAATTCTCAATCCAGTCATCTGAGAATGTCACCAACTGCGCAAACACAAATTAGCTCTTGTCAATTAAAAGAATATGCAAAATTATCCTTGCAGATGTGGGAAGAGGGCACTGTTACTAAATCAATCAAGTAGTATAAGGTATCAAAATCCTGAGAGTTTTAGTGCCATTTATCTTTTCTGTGTGTTAACTAAGACATTTATCTACCTATTCTCCAAAGATAAATTTCTGGAACAGAGTGTGCTGGGGGCAGATATACAGACGATATCATGCAAACTACTTAATGTAATAAAAATGTCACCTGGGTTTTAACAACACAAGAACAATGGATCCTTTAGAGGGATGTTAAAAGGGCTTTACTAACATCGGATCTTATACCACACAGGGCACGCAGTAGAGGACATGAAACCCTTTGTGAACATCTAAGAAATTACGAACGTTTCCTTATGTTCATGTTTAGGTATGCAGATATGAATATGCAGTTCCAGCCTTTCATTGTCTACGCTTTCTGTTTGGGCACACGATTTGAACCCCCTTTCAAATGTGCTGGTTGTTCCATTTCACAGGTTTACGGGGAGAGAATATGGCCACGCTGAGGGTCACAGGCTACAGTGGTGTGAGGCTATGAAGACTCCCGTGTGGTAGTAGAAACATGCCTGCCGGGTGGGAGAGCGAAGGGCTCATTGAAGGTTTCGAGCTGGGTTCCACTCTGCTTACGGTGCTCTGCCAACCAGAACGAGACACGTGTGTTGTGTTGGTTTGAATCAAATGCAAATCTAACGCATTTGACAACACGTCCTTTAAAAAATGTTCTGTCCTGTGCATTGAGATTTCCTGTACTGATTTTGGTTGTCATTTAAAGATTCAGAATGAATAAACCATTAATAACATAGGAAACTGGGCCAAAAATTGGGTGACCAAAAAAAGTGAAGGTGATCATTTCAATAAAATGCAGCTTTAAAGTATTATTAAAATAATAGAATAAAAAGTCCCCAAATTAATAGACAAGCATCATTTAGAAAGTAATATTTTCCATCTAACTTAGGAAACCAAAGGGAAGAAATAATGAGATTCCAGAGAGATAATACCCATTAGCTGTTACAGGGTCAGAACAGTTTTATGTTCTTCATATAAGCCTGGCCGTTCTTGCCCTTGACCTGATTTAGAATTCTCGCTTGCTTCTGACCCAGGTCAATTCGGTTTTCACTCACTCATTCTCCAGGAGTATTTAGTGAGCGCTGTCTGCATTCAGCCCCACCTCCTGCCCAGCTTCGGGCATTGTGTTTTAGGGGCAGTAGGCTAACCTGGTTGCTTACCATGCCAGTTTCCCTGTCTGCACTTTGCAAAATGCAGTGATTTGAAAAGAAAAAAAATACCCGAACTTTGTATTTTGGCTAAGACAAATCAGAAAGTATCTTTATGATAGTCATGATTAAATATATGTGCAGCATTCCAGGGTGGGACATGTCACTTTACTGACACATTTCTAACGTTAATGCTCTTTCTCTGAACACGACAAGGTAGGGGGAAACAAGACCTGTTTTCATTTTATAATCCCAACCTGCTGGTGAAGTGAATACAGTCATAGAAACCTCTACAAAAAATACAAATCCTCTTAAATACATGAAACTACACAAAGCATATTGAAGACTTACAAAGAAAAGTAGCCTTTAAGACAAAATCTAGCTCTTTCCTTGTTTTCAAATGTTGGTAAAATTGTTTTTCCATCGGGATACTCTCGAACGCCCCCACAGTGCTGAATTGAACCTGCAAGAGCGGGGGGGGGGGGGGCATAAAGGCACGTGGGGTCGGAGGAGGTTAGTCTTACAGGTGTTTGCAGGCAAAGTCTATTGTCTTTTGGCCAAGCAGATTTGTTCTTTGCTGGACTTCATCTTTCCCATCGAAAGACAACAGTTCATGGTGAAACAAGTTTTATTTACAAAACCTATCTTTAGTTTTGGTTAATAATTAGCAAAGGGGATAAAATATATTTTACATCAGAAAGGCCTTTTGATTACATGTAGATTCACATGGAAATTATTAAGAAAATCTGTATAGCATTTAAGGTTATGTCAAGTCTTTGGAAATAAGAACGTAGACATAACATTCACAATTTGCCGTAAGAGAAATTTGATCTTCAGTGCTTATGTCTCAGAAACAACCTGCTCTCCCAATGTTGACCTCATCGAAGGCATGAACTTGAATCCCAGATAAATATTTTTTTATGCAGGTTTTTCTTTTTCCCAAAAAATTGGTCAATCTGAAACAAAGGTTTTGCAATATGTTATCTAATTTAGCACTTTGTGAATTCTCCTGATCTTAGGCAACTGCATTGTGAAAGAGTAGTTCCTGATGTAATTTACTGAGGCAATAGAATTCAAAACCTGCACATGGCAGGCATTAAGACCCTGGAGCTGAAGGAAAGCATTCATGAGTCTTTACCACTCTTCATTCAAATAGTATTTGCTGAGTACCCACTCTCATCCAAGAACTTTTTGAGACATAGGAATACAACAGAGAACAACACAAACTCCTCTTTTCCCTAAATCTCACCTGTATAGTAGTTTATAAGGCAATAAACTAAGTAAATTAGTAATATATACAATGTGTTTATGATAATTTCCAGGGGCAAACAAAGCATGGAAGAAGAATGAGGAATATGAAGTGTCGGGGAGGGGGATGAAATTTTAGACAGTGTGGTCTAGACAGAGTGGATTTGAGAGGAGAAACAGGTGAAGCGAAGGATGTATTTGGGAGCGAGCATTCCAGGCAGAGCACCTGGTGAATGCAGGGGCTTGAGGGTGGGATGGTGAGGGGGCCCAGGTGGAGAAGACGCAGCTGACAGAGTGCAGGGTGAAGTGGAAGTTGGGGTTTGGGAGGATAATGAGGGGCCAGGTCATGTAGGATCTTCTGCATTGTGACGAGGGCTTCGGCTTTTGCTCTGAGGGGTGAAGCCAGAAAGGGACCAGATGTTAAGTGTTAACAGAATCACTGTGACTGTCGAGAACACATTGAAGGCAGTCGAGTGTGGCACTTGGACTGAGATGAGGAAAAGGAGGTGAGGAAGGCAAACACAGAGTCTGGTCCTGTTTTTATTTATAATTTTGCTATTTTAAATTATGGGTTGAAAATTACTGCCTTAAAATATCATTCGTCTTGATTACTGAGTTTTCTTGTTTCTTAAATTTTGCATTCAAGGTGGTGCCTCGCTCCCCTCACTCAGGTTGGCAGGGGAGTCAAGGGGAGAAGCAGGGAAACCAGTTAAAAACTATTATAACGTCTTGGCAAGAGATACCAGTGGCTTGGACTAGAGTGGAGACAGTGGGGAGGGGTGATGAGAAGTGGTCAGATCTTGGATATATTTTACAGGTGACTGCACTGTGAGAGAGGATATGAGGAGCCATGAAATGCATCTAGGCTTTGGCCTGGGTACTGGAAGAACAGAGTGTCATTAACTGAGTTTGGGAGGAGCGAGGCTGTGGAGGAAGAGCCAGGGCCCAGCTGTAGGCATGTGGGTTTTGAGATGCCATTAGATAGCCATTAGCAGAGAGGTTGAGTGGACGGTTAGATATATGCGTCTGAATTGTCCGGGAGAGTTCCAGACAGGACGTATTGATTTATAAGCTGTTTACATAGAGCTATTTAAGCTGTAAAATTAGATGAGGTCATCAGGGGACTGAGTGTAGAAAACAGGCCCAAGGACTGACCTCTGGGGCACTCCAACTTTTGGAAGGCAGGGAGACGAGGAGGAACTAGTGAAGGAGAACGGGATGGGACAGCTGGAGAGGTAGGACTAGTACCAGGTGAGGCAGGTCGACTGGAAGCCAAGTGAAGAAAGGATGCAGGGAACAACTGAGTGGTCAGATGCGCGGATTCTGCTAAGTTAAGCAAGATGAAGCTTGAACAGGAACGCAGATCCCGGAGCAGGACGTTCTGGGTTCAGATCCCCATTCTGACTCTTCCTGTGTGTTCTGGGAACGTTTCTTCACCTCCTGCTGTCTCAGTATACTCAGCTGAGGAGGTAATGCCATTTCTCTCTGGGTCATTGTATTACAGGAGTAGATGTATTAAGTGGGCTTTGGGAGATTTCCTGGCACATAGTAGGTGGTAGGCATAAGTAGAGAAAACATAAAGAAGAAAACGGGAGAGGCAGTATGATCACCAAGCACCTTAGCTCCTCAATTCAGAGATTCTGCAGTAGAAAATCCCACAGGTTGTCGGACAGGACTGTTTCTAGACGAGAGTGGCCAGGAAGAAAGGCGAAGAGGGAGGCAGGTTGGGCGGAGGAAGGTTCCAGGCAGCGTTACGGGAAAGAAGCATGGATACCGCCCCAGCCCTGGCCACGCAGCAGTTTCCTCATTTGTGAATTGGGGTGACAGGCAGGCTGCAAACAACACTGTCATGAAGAGCAAATGGGACAACACTGTGAAGGGTTTAATTTAGGTTGAAGGTACAGCAAGCACACTGCACAACTTCCTACCGTTACCGCTGAGACTACGCCAGAGGAGAGCAGCTGGAGGGACAGCCAAGGGACTCCCCAAGGGGCCTGTGGGAGGTGACATGTTCTCCCCTCTCCTCCTTTCTTAGGTTCATTCTGAAAATGGGGTGAGGGCAGGACAATAATATGAAAAACCAGGGGGTCCCCTCCAGCTCTGCTCATTTGCATTCATCTGTGATCAATGTCTCCCCATCCTCTAAGACAGTGGGTTTTTTTCTCAGCAAAGGAATACTTTGCTGAAATGTGTCCTTTCCACTATG